AGGTCTAATGTCTTTGATCTCTGGTGCTATTGGTCTATTGTAAAAGTGTCCTGCTAGCTGGCACTTTTCTGAAAAAGCCTGACACACACACACACACACACACAAGGTCTTTTATCCCTGCGGCCTCTTTAAACAGATCCACTCTGTGTCTCCCCTCAGGTCTTCTAAGGAAAGTAATCCTGTTACTGAGGAGGTCACGTCACCGTCCCTCAATCCCGAGGCCAAAATGTCTGCGGCAGACTGTGCAGCTCAGTCATCTGCAGCTCCCCCGCAGGAGCAGGAGAGCAGCAGGAGTGCTGGGCCTGCGCCAGTGACAGTGCCCTACCTGAGCCCTCTGGTTCTGTGGAAGGAGCTGGAGAGCCTGCTGGTAAATGAGGGCGACCAGGCCATCTCCTCCCCGAGTGTCGTCGACCAACACCCAATTGTCTTCTGGAACCTCGTGTGGTACTTCAGAAGGCTGGAGTTGCCGAGCAACCTGCCGGCTCTCATCCTGGCCTCCCAGCACTGTAGCCATGGAGACCAGGTAAACATGCAGGTGTCTGTCAAGCTCCCCCACAGACCGCTGTGTGTAGATTGATCCATAAACCGTAAAGGCATCATTTATCAACTCTGTTAAATACACTTTTCCACTTTGCTGACATGAGTTAGATGCAAATATCAATACCACTCTCATATCTGTATGAAGCCGGGCCAAGTGAGTGGTATTGATCTTCTCATCTGATTCTGGGCAAGAAAGTGTGTTTCCCAAAATGTCAAAGTATTCTTCAAACCTCCTACTTGTGTGGAAAAAGAATCAAACTTTGGTGACTCCTAGTGGTAGTTTGAATAATAGACAAAACAGAGCAATGCATAAGAGCAGCACTTACAATTTTCACTAGGAACATCTCTTTATTTTTTTTTTTACTTTTTGCACGTATTAAAACTAAATAAAATTAAAATTCTACAATAAGGGCTGTGACATACAGAGTAAGGGATTAATATGCCATGTGTTTTACCCCTTACAGACTCCTCAGAGCGTTTCATCCGAGGACAGTAAGCAGGTGCTCGTGAGGATCATGTGGGACAACCTGAAGTTGCACAAAGACAAAGTTCAACCCTGCTATGTCCTGTGGAACACACATTGTAAGTCACTAAAGCATTTACTTTAACTGAGTCTGAGGTATAATACGGTTCAGAAGGTGAAATTATTTTCAGAAAATGATTTTGCCGGCAAGTTTGATCAAGGTCAGATATTTACATGTAAATTGAATAATGCATATGAAGTAACTAGAAAATCATGCATAATTCAGTACAGGCCTCCCATTAGTCATGCCACCCTTAACAGTGCTATACTTTCAGAATTGATTTGGAGCGATGGAGATGAATGAGCCTTTGATCAGGGTGACTTTTATCTTTTGTTCTTTGCAGGTGCAAACTCCCTGGTTCGCTCCGGGCTGTGCGAAGAAGGCCAAGTCTTCACTGTGGAGCTACTGCAGGGTTTTGTGAGGAGCATTAAGAAGAGTGATGTCTATCAGCCCATGAGCCAAATCATCCAGCTGCTGGGGCCAGAGATGGGCTTTAAGAGACAGAGGTGAGGAAATAAAGAGTTTAGTGAGAAGCTGTTTGTAAAAGGTGATACGGATGGAAAATCTAATCGATTTAATTTCTTCTTCTTTTCCCTCTCTCTCTGAAAAAGGAGCCTGTACAGAGATTTGTTGTTCCTTGCTTTGGTGGCTTTGGGAAAGAACAATATAAATATCAGTAAGTACAAAAGCATCCTGTTTTTATGCTCGCTGTTTGTGTGAGGCTCAGTCTAACACTTAAATCCAGAGTGAAATATCTCAACAACTGTTATATGGATTGCCATGAAATCTGGTACAGCTATCCATCGTGCCTAGAAGATGAATCCTACTGACTTAAGTGAATCCCTGACTTTCTCTCCAGTGCCACCAGCATGTCAAAGTTTTTATTTATCCTATCGAATATCTCAACATTTACCAGATAGACTGGCACAAAATGTCTCTTCTAAGTCTGAAGATGAGCATCAGCTGGAAACTTCACTTTGAATAAATTAAAATATGAATTGCACTTCATGGAGCTTAAGTGTGCGGACCTTTCTTCATGTTTTTTACAGACAATTATGCCCCACACAGGATGAATTATAATCATGTTTATGACTCCCTGACTTTTCATCTAGAGCCATTACCTGGTCAAAAATTTTAATTTGTCCAGCACTTGGCTTTTAAAACAAATACCTGCATAACCTACTATGTTCATCAGCCTCAGCTGTACTTTGACTTTAATGCTTAAATAGCAAATGTTAGTATGCTAACATGCTAAACAGAGATGGTAAATATTACATCTGCTAAGCGTCAGCATGTTAGCATTTACACTGCGAGCCTGTTAGCATGCTGACATTTACCACTGCACTTTAGTACAGCCTCACAAAAGCACAAGCACAACTAATCAGATCTTTTACTGTGCTATTAAAGCTATTTATAGGCATTATTTACAGATTTTTATTCCACATTTTAGCTCTTTGGTGTATTTATTTGTTTGTATGTTGTTGTATGTTACCGTGTTTCTCTGCACACCAAGCTGCTTTTAGCTAATTGCCCCTAGTGGGATAAAAAAGTTGTCTTGAATTTGAATTGAATAGTCTTGTTTTTTATACAGAAGCTAGAAGAGTTATTTTCTTGCTTTACCAAACAGTGACATAATATCACATTGTTCACTAACCTTTACCTCTCTACCTCTTTGCAGATGCTTTTGACCGGGAGTACAAGCTAGCATATGACCGCCTCACCCCCAACCAGGTTAAACTGACACACAACTGTGACCGTCCCCCCGGAGCAGGGGTCATGGAGTGCAGGAGGACTTTTGGGGAGCCTGGTCTGTAAAGTACTTCTCTTCTTCCGTCCCATTATGTTTTTCCTTCACGGTCACTGCTGCTGGGTTTCTTCTGTTTGTTTGTTTTTCGGACTGCTCCTTAGACTCAGGACCAGCTCACCTGACTGGAGCGCAGAGCTCTCAAGCACAACGGGACAATGACACTTAATGTAAAGCAACTGCCATGAGTTTCTAGTATACTGTTAGAGGCGTGGAGTGACAGCCTTGTGTTTGTAAATATTTAGAAAATCCACTGTATTTTCAGTATAACTCCAGTAAAATGTTTGTACAGTTATTATACAGTCTATTTTATGACTTTGTTTCTGTTGAAGCTGTGAGTAAGTACGTAAAAGTAAGTGTATGATCATCACATTGTCCAAATTTATAAGTGGTCCTGGCGACCTCGTTCAAGACTGTTGTCGAGTGTGTGTATACTAAGTACATGCTTTTAGACATTTGTGTTTTTACAAAGCACTTTGACAAGATGAGCTCTTGCCACTCATTTTCATTTATGTAACGCTGTGGCCCGGCCACCTTCGCTTAAGTGACTTTTTATTTGGCAGCTGCAGAACTTACTGCACTGTTTAATAGTCCCATTACATGCAGTTAATGGAAGCAAAGAAATTCCTCTTCATCTGCACCCTGTTAATATAGCAGGACCATGCTCATATGCCTGAATACACTAAATTAAATGGTTACATAAAAAAAAATATGAACTTCTGATTCAACAAGGGAGAACTCAGTTAATGTAAATGTATAATGTTTGTTTATTACTCCTTTTTTTGTACAATGTACCAAAATAACCTAAAAGGGAATCTCATGATTTATTTAGTTTTTTTTAAGCAATATCTTTTTTAATGTGAGGACTTACGAGTTTTTTGGGACCACCAAGGATAGATGTCCTTAAAAACAGTACAATCAAACTAATAGATGAATAAAAACTGAAAATAAATGTTTTCTGTTAGTTAAATCGACACAATTTTTGATAAAGAAATTAATTTATTGACACAGTAATTCATCTATAAAAATGTACAGAGTATTTGATTCTAGTATTTTGTATATTTCCTTCTGGTCTTCACTGTATGGTGTACATGTCAGTTTTGGACATTTGTACAGCAATGCACTGTTTAATGTGAAATACAGAGCAAAAAAAAGAGGACATTATAAATCTCTTTGGACAGATGATGGCGCAGGTTTCTTTGCACTGAGCATATTAAAAGATTAATTTGAAAGGTGTTAAGTTAGGAGAACAGCTCTGACCTGCCCTGCTTCAAAATCATGTCCAAAAATGAGTGTGATGGTTCACTGTGTTAATATTGTCTCTCACTTTTAACTGACAAAAACCTGCCTACATTCTGTTCGTACGGTACAAATGTGACGCAGCTTCACGGTTTATTACTGGACTTCACCACAGTTATTTATGGTGACACGATGCTGGATTAGACGAGGCTGTGTGCTTGGAATAAACACCAATATCACAGCATGTATATTTGCATTTTATTCACCTTATAATGTGTGACAAAAACAAACAAAAAAACACTGATGACCAAAACATTTGATGTCTACATGTTGTTTACACAATTTGTCAATTAAAACAATGTTTATGATGTATTATTTATCATTTGTAACACAGATACTAATTTGTATGATTTTTATATGAGAAAGAAATCAAATTTCTTCCCTGGCTGGATCTATAGTTTGCTTTCATTTATGAATAAACACGTTTATTCTACGGATGTCACGTCTGATTATTTCCAAAGTGCTATTGCCACGACTGACCTTTTTATTTATTTATTTTTTTATAAAAACTGATTAAGTTCAAGCAAGCTCAGGTTCTCTATTAATAAATGTTATAAAACGGTTGTTGGTGCACAGATTTGTACAAAATTTACATGTAGAAACTTCATACATTTTGCAAAATGTTCACATATTCTAGATTTCTAATTGCATTCTGAAGATGCTGTTTTGTAAACAGTAAAAAAAATGGTCATATCCCTGTTAGTGTTCATTCATTACACTTACCTACACTACTTCAGACAGTTTGCATCTCCTGATGTAATCAAATAATTTATGTAAAAGCTGCCATTGTTACTAAAAATAAAAAGTTCTAAATGTTCTAAATGTTATAAAGTTATAAATGTTCGTCCAATATGAGATGAGATAAATACAACAAGACAGGACAGAAACATATAAAATTCATTCTGCTTTGGTTGCTGTATACTGTAAAAGTGGAATGTCAGCACTACTTCTTTATGATTAAGTTCAGTCACACTTGTTTTAACAACAAAAACATATATAAATTAAAAAAAATCACAATTTTTGTAAATGTAATGTATTATTACTATGTTGTTAAGAAGGCATTACATTTGTGAAGAGCGCATCATGACTTATTTAGGAACCAAAACTCAGAGTTTAGGATTTGGGTCTTGACTTGGGACTTGAGTGCAAAGATGTGAGACTTACTTGTGACTTACAAAACAATGACTTGGTCCCACCTCTGCTAGAAAATGTTGTCATATGTGTACTGTTGCTTTCATACCAAACACACGTCAGTTGCAACAATGCAGAGCAACTACAGCAGCTTTCTGCATAGTTTCTACAGATATCCACACCCATGCTCATGAGATCAGTCCATATACAGGTTAACTGTTGTGCTTCAGGTCGCAAGTGAAGACAACGCCTGCTGTAGAGAAGGCTCCAGCTCACACGTTCAGATAGAAACAGGGCAGATGATGATGCGATCCTCCAGCATCACGCTAAGCACCAAGAAGATAAAGTAGAGCAGGAACATGGTGAAGCCCAACAGCTTATTCATCCTCCACCTACACGATGCAATGGAGATGATGACAAAGAGGAGCATGATGAAGAGAAGCACGATGGCACAGAAGAGCCCGTTGCTGCTGACGGCCACTGGACCAAAACCATGTGTGGATGAGTAAAGGAGCCATGGCACTGGAAGACTTTTGAGACAAAGAGACCAAGAAATGTAACAAACAAGTGTTCATCAGTATTTTTTTTCCTTAAAACGTGACACATCAGGTTTGGAGCTCACCCCACTGTGATATCAAAGATGTTACTGCCCACAGAGCTGGACACAGCCATGTCCCCCAGGCCTTTTCGTGCAACAATCACACTGGTAATGAGATCAGGGATGGACGTCCCTGCAGCCAAGATAGTCAGGCCCATAATCTCCTCTGAGATGCCGATGGTCTCACCTACCTACAAGAGCACACAAACTAGGGTTCAGAGCAGATAGAAGCTACAGACACGGAAAATTACTTTCATGTTTTAGTCAGCATGACTTATTCTTACTTTCAAAACATCAAACTTTTCTACATGTAACTAAAAAATCACAATTTCTGATGATGACTAGAATGGAGCCCGACTTGAGGTTCAAAGCCAGACTATCAAAACCAGATCTAAACTGATACAATGTAAATGGAATATGCCTAGATACATAACTCCCTCCCTGCTACATTGCTTTGATAATAATAATGTTGATTTATTTATTAAATGTGGCCTAGAAGAAGGTACTTTATTCCACTGCTGCCTTTGGAGCTGCCCCAAAATTTGTGTAAAGGTCAAAAAAACTATATCTGATATCATATTGGGTTGCCTGTCTGCCCTCGGGCATTTATCCTCAGACTACCTGAATTAATACTCATTCATTCATTTTCTGTAACCACTTATCATGTTGGGGGTCGTGGGGTTGCTGGAACCTATCCCACCTGTCACGGGCGAGAGGCGGGGTCAACATGACTGAGGCAAGACAGACTATCACAGGGCCGAAACACAGAGACAGACAACCATTCATGCTCACATTTACACCTATGGCCAATTCAGAGTCACCAATTAACCTGCATGTCTTTGGACTGTTGGAGGAAGCCGGAGTACCCGCAGAAAACCCACACTGGCATGGCGAGAACATGCAAATTCAACAATGCAAGTTCCCCCACCTTGGCTTTGAACCAGGAACCCTCTTGCTGTGAGGTAGCCATACTAACTACTGCAACACCGTACCACCAAGGATTAATACCGTCAGGTGCAAATAAAGATAATCACTTTATGCTCATGTCATATAATATTGTACTGCAACTGCCTCGAGAAGCACTGGGGCACCTACAGTTGGACATTGGTTTAAAATTGGTCTTGATAACTGTTAAGTCATGGAAAAACTGACTTATGCAGCTGAGGGGAAAATACAGAGCTTTTTTTATAATCGGGGACAATTTATTAAATATCATAAAAGTCAATCACTAAGATGTCTGCTGGATACTTGAAAAGAAAATGTTGTAAAAAGATAATGTACAATTATTCTGTATAATAGCTGAATAAAAATTGCAGGTTTTTGTTTTGTTCATATGTGCGTAGACCTTTATATGTAGTATATTTGTTGTGTTATTTCTGAAATCACAATAGATAAAATAAAATAAAATAAAATTAAATTAAATTAAATCAAACAAAATAGAATAAAATAAAATAAACCAATAAAAAATAAATTAAATTGAATTGAATTAAACAAAACAGAATAAGATAAAACAAATAAAAAAAAATAATTAAATTAAATTAGATAAATAAACTCACAATGATTTGTGCCTGTGCATACAATCATGAGACAAGACAACACATTTGAAATTCCATCTCTAAATGTTACTACAGTAACTGACCTGATGGGCCCACCACACCATGAGGTAGGAGAAAATAGCAATCCACAGAATGGAGCCCAGGAAGGTCATCGCAAAGAATTTTCTGGATTTCTGTCAGACATGTAAAAGCAAAAACCAATCACTGAGGCATTAAAGAAACCACAGCTGATCTCAGAGACGCGTCTGAGTCTTTACCTGGTTGCGAACATCTGGAACTGTGAGCCACAGAGGAAAGATTACAGGCAGCAGGAAGACGTAGGTGGCTTGTTTACGTGGCGTGTCAGGCCACTCTAAAGACAGAGGTTCCTCTTTCTCCTCTTCGTCACTCTCCTCCTCATCTTCATCCTCATCGTCATCATCTTCCTCTTCACTGGACTCATCGCTGTCTTCATCGCTGTCATCTTCATCATCGTCAGAGCCTCCTGACCCACCGTCTCCTGCTGGCACATCGTCCTAAAGTGTTGGGGAAAGAAATAATGGAACGACAGTAGAAGCAGAGGAGAAATAAAAGCAAAGACCAAAGAGGTGTTTTGCCTTAAGTTGTAGCTCTGTACAGTGACTCTTACATAGACAGCTATCAAAGATTGACTTCTGGGCTTTTTGAAAACCACCAGGATACAGTTGGAGAGTACCTTCTTGTCCTCTGGTTGTTCCTTCTCCTCTTTTGCTGGGGCTGGAGCAGCCTCTGGCTCTTTGGTCGGTTCAGTTTTTCCTCCACCAACTGTGAAAAGAATCCCAAAAATCTGGTGCATTTCTCTGATGCATCTGACTCATTAGGTTATCTGAGAGAACTCCCATGTCATGTTATATGCCTTTGGGACCGATCATGTCCGGAAATACAGTGAATGTGTTGCTAGGACTTACGTGATTATGAGATCATCTTCATGCCAACTGGACTGAATGAGCTCACTGTCTTCATCTACACTACCCTGTATCCAGTTCATATTTTACTACTGGTCATCCACTTGCAGTGTGCAGCAAAGCAGCTATTGATTATGCTAAAGTTAAATTTCCCTTTGGTTGCAATACTAATATACTTGAGGACATGTATCACTGACATCTAATCTCTCTGCTGTCACAGAACCTGTTTGACTCACTCAGGCCACATGCTGAAGTATTTCGGCTGGCTGCATGCTTTCTGCAGCCCGGATGACGATCAGCTTTCAGACTCATGAGCAGTCTCTGAAAGCTTAACGACTTGATCAGTGGATGACCATCACATCCCTCCATGTTACCTTCACTTTTGTCTTGAGTTTTGCTCTCTGCCGTCCGTTTAGCCACATTAGTCAGTGTCACAGCCTTATCCTTAAATTTCCCTATGAACAATCAAACAATCAAAAACAAACTTAGAGGAATTCTGTAGTGAGTCACTCAGTCATGTGATGATTACAGTAATTTCACAGTCATATGGAGAACAAATAAGCAGAGTTAGGCATGGAGCAAGAATACTGGCAGTGTAACATCAAAAGCAACAGCATCATAACCCTCACTGCAGCACAGAGCAATGTATGAGAGGAGGAGTGAGCTTGTCAAAGGAACTGCACACAAGAGACACTGCACAGTATTAGACAAGACAGGATCTGACTCTCTCTGGAAACCCATTATACTGTACATTATTTCCACTGCACCTCTGTCTATCAGAGACAACTATTTGTTTCAAATGGACAGAGATATTTAAAACAATTGCAGGAATATTTTGTTCTTGTTGATTAAATGTCTCAGAGTGAATACACCCATCTCAAGCAAGCATAATTTTTAGCAGAGGTCGATATAACCCTGCAGTACACAGTATCAAAACATCCATTTTGATATTACATTCAAAGCATTTCTTTTACTTTGGTGGCACAAAATTAAATAAGCCGCAAATATTTGTAATGTTGCTTTGGAGTGGGTTTAGAGGGGCTGACGGCTGTGATCCAGATTTCACAGGCTCATTCAGAAGCTGATTATTGTGCTGCAGTCGTGGAGTGTTTGCTGCCTGGAGGCCTGAGAGACGAGCAAACCAGGTGCCAGGGCCACAGGTACACAAACTGGGACATATTGTGCTGTGGTCTCGCCTCAGGCAACCAGAGAACAGGAAAATATGAGCATTGCTGTGAGATAATCCCAGTAAGGATCACCACAGCACGGTGCACCATTATAGAGCTACACTCGAAGAAATGATTTGACTAGTTTATATATTTCAGTTACATATAAAATGTCCAGCAAATTAAGTCAAGTAATTCTAACATAAACCAAAACTACAATTTATGTAAATAAATCAAATAAAACTGTGGTAAATAGACTATAAACAGTTTGTGTAGCTATAGCTCATATAATTTACCTAATTTCCTTAAATAAATGTAATTGTTTTATTATGTAATTACTGTCAATAACTTTATAACATATCAGGAAAACCTATGGTGGAAAGCTACGGGGTGCCTTTTGTAAAGTGGCTCACACTGAAATTAACAGCAACATTTTGCCACATTTAGCTTCAAACAATGTTTAAAAAAAGTGGTGTGAATTTTCAAGTCAACATTTAGATTTAGATTTAACATTTAGATTTTGATTTAGATTTAACATTTAGATTTGACATTTAACATTTAGATTTAGATTTAACATTTAACATTTAGATTTAACATTTAACATTTAGATTTATATTCAACATTTAGATTCAACATTTAGATTTAACATTTAACATTTAGATTTAGATTTAGATTTAACATTTAGGTTTAACATTTAATATTTAGATTTAACATTTAACATTTAATTTAACATATTTCAAATATTGCTGTAAATGTGGTAAAACAAAAGTGACTTTAAAAAATTCACACCAGTTTTTTAAACGTTGTTTGAAGCTAAATGTGGCAAAATGTTGCTGTTAATTTCAGTGAGCCACTTTACAAACGGCACCCCATAGAAAACCACTGGGAAAGCTGTGCAGGACCAGTCATTCCATCATCACATCGTAGTGAACAGATTAGATTATTTTTTGTTATCTGATTCAACAGAAATATTAACACTTTTTGATATGACTTTCATACAACAGAAGTTATTTAATAGTCATAAATGACTTAATAATTATTATGTATAAACCAGTCTTTTCTGTAGCTTTATGTGTCCTAAGAATCTTTTTCATATTTCACTGTGAGCCTACAAATGGATCCTCCATAGACTGAGGTAGGTATTTATCTGCTTAGTATCAATCTGGACTTAGTGCTGTCTTCATTTGGGACGCTTTGCTAATCCATTTCACTATGAGAAGGACATAGTCCCCAGAAACTCATTACAAGAGCACTTTTAATGAGCAAGCACTGGGGCGATCAATGTAGTGGTGATGATATGGTACTCACCCTCACCTAGAGGGTCTAACGTGTGGATCATAAGTTGGAAGATGGTGTTTCTCATGGTGCTGTTGTGTAGAGAAGCTGAACTTCCCCCGCGCTGAAGGGATGGCTTCAACTGGGGAAAAGAGATGGCTGAGGTCACGAGAGCTGCTCACAATAACACAGTGACTCATCAGTGTTAGACAATCATGTAGTAGTGGAGTCAGGCTTGTGTTTTTTTCTTGAAAATGTGCAGGCACTTGAAGGGAGGTGTCTTTTCTTTGTGTAGAAAGCTTCTATAGGATGTAGGATAAGGTAGATAAATGAGGAGTGTGAGGATATTGCTTTTTGTGTGTTTCTTCTTGCAGTTGATTGGTTGTTTGGTTGACTTTTACCTTCAACCTATTCTTGTCTTCTGAAGCAGGAGGGGCGTTATTTTCAGCGTCACCGTTTGCCTGCGTGCAACAATGTTTTTTTTAGTGATAATCATTCATTGGTAGAAACAGACCAAAGTTAATTCATTCATTAATTCGGATAGAGCTTGAATATCAATATATACAGCATACTATAATCTTATACATTGCTATGTCACATATTGCACACTCTGAGGGTCTTATTAGTGTTACACGTTACATGTCACCCCATCAAAATTATAAAACACAGTATAATATGATTATATGTGATGTGAACTTGCATTTTCAACAGATAAATAACTACATTTGCTCTTGAGGAACATACATCCAGCAGTATATCCAGCTCAACAAACACCCTGAGTGTGTGCAGATCCTGTAGCTTTACCCTTGTGTACAATAAGCCTCAATCACACTTACCAGGGTTATACGGTCACACCTACACAGTATATGTTGATGCTAGAGTTTGTAGAGGATTAGTCTGCTGTGGCTGATCAGCTTTGGTTCAACCAAGGTCTCTGCTGGTATCTTTTCACTCTTTTTACAAGATTTGCATAGAGCCCCCGCAGGTGGGAGTAAAGATGTCATAAGTGATGAGTAATGTGACTCTCTGTTTGAGTACAAACACACTGTGTGTAATGAGTGTAGAAGAATACAAAACTAAAATAGGCATGAGTGACAGGGCTAGTTTCAAACTTGAGAATATTTATCTGTTTTATGGACTGCCACTCTGACAGTATTACAAGATAACACCAGCAAAATGGTGTCAGTAAGTTGTTTTGAGGTATCACTAAATCTGCAAATGTGTAACTCATCAGTAGATATAAATTTGTCTTCATCTGCTATAATGTTCTTTAAATCTCCATACCTTTGTTCTCACTTACATACCACTGCCAAAACTTTGGGCTAATACTTGCAAACTGTTAGTAACTTTCAGAGTTCCTTCCACATCTGAGAAAACTCTGTGATAGACATACCTAATAAAAGACTCATTGTAATTGTTTCATGTAAAGTCTGATTTTAGACCAGTTGTGTTCTGTCACAGCAGTGCTTACCTTTTCAGGTTCTTCCACAGAAATAATTCTGACAATGTTCTTGTTTTTGAGGATCAGGACCTTGAAGGCCTGCTCTATTTGTACATTGAACTTCATGAAAGTCACATAGAGCGTGTAACAGCCAACCAACATCACGCTCTCCCACCACATTATGATATTATCCAAGAAGAAGATGATGAGTAAGACGAGGTCAAATATGTAGAAGGATACATCTCTGAAAAGTGGCCACCAGGTTAGATGGAGCACCTCCCGTGAAAACAAAGCACACATCCCAATCACAAACAAAATGTTGAAAACCGCCGAGCCAACGATGGTGCCGATGCCCACATTGCTGTGGGCGATGAATACTCCTATCAAGGAGGTGAAGAGTTCAGGAGCAGAACCTCCAGCAGCCATGAAGGTGGCTCCTGCTACATCATCAGAGATTTCTAACTTGTCTATGATTACCCCGAGTGCAGGGACAAAGAACTCATCACACACAATTGCAAGTGAAATGAACATGTACATCATCCCAAAAATGTGGAGGATGACCCAGCCTCGTCTACGGTCTTCAACAGAAAAGATATCTTCAGGGTATTCGCCCTTCATATGTGGAGCTTCAGCAGGAGAGGCTGGGGTGACAGTGGTCACAGGAAGAGTTGGTGTGGGCGTCTCCCGTGGAGGCTCAGGGGCCACGTAGATGCAATGCACAATAGTCCGGTTTGTAGTTGGCAATGGTGGAGCTTCAGTGGAGGTGGATGCTGTAAAATCTGTAGTTGTCTCCGACACAGTTACCACATGCATTTCTGGAGTTGTTTGATCTGTGGGCTCTAACTCGTGTGTTGCAGTGAGAGGTTCCTCCAGCCCCGGAGTCTCTACTGTCGCCTCCTCAACACCCTCTGTTGAACCTTCTCCAAAATCCTCCCCAATCTGAGGCATTGGCAAAGGCTCATACAGTCTGGCACTGATGGTCAGCTGGTAGAGGGTACAGAGAAAAACCCCAGAGAGGAGAAACAGGACCCTGCTAAGCTGCAGTCGCTTCCTCCTTGTACAATGCATTTTCCTCCAGAGCAGTGATGCTACTTGCTATGGAGAATTAAGCTGCATGAAAGGGCTTTGGTTGAGGACAAGTCCAGCTCTCTCCCCAGCAGACCATGGGGTGACACAATCTAAAACTTCAGCGGCGTGATTCATGTCATCCTCACTTCCTTGCAAAGCCCAGCCTATTGAGAATGAAAAGAAACATCGGAGACAAAATGACATTTAGAAAGCACGTGGTACAACAGTAGTGTCTGTTTGAAAGCATGTTACATATTCAGACAAAGCATCTGATTATTAAATAAACAATATCTGTCATAGCACTTCTGACAAGCCCATTTAGAAGCTGTTATGGCTGCTTTCTTTGCAAATTGGTGGTTTCTCCAAAACAGAACAAAAAATGTTAGGGCTCAAAAAATGAGTGACAGACGAATATAATTGACAAATAAAAAATAAACATAAAAAGACAAACTGCATAACAACTAAAATAAATATCGTGTAGTGAGGAGTCAGGCTAATTACCACATAAATCAAAAAAAGGAGAAACAACACAATGCATTTTAATCCCAGGTGCAGACTTACCAGAGAACTGATGTCTTGCAAAGGGAGGGATGCAAAAATCTCCAAAAGCAGGTTTCCACAGCTGGTTATTGTGGCACAAGTAAAAGTCCAAACTGTTGCCAGTGGCCAGGGGGTTATGTAGGACACAGGACGAGTCTTCACAATGGATCAGCATAATACCTAATAGCCTATCTGAAGACTTCTAAGAGGATTACGTGCATTGTCCCACTCTCACTTTATCATGAGCCTATACCTTACTAATATTTATATATTATAATATAATATATATGCAAAATAAGAGTGGTGCTTTGGTTTAATGCTATTTTGCTGCACAGCTATAGCATAGAAATAATCTTATGATGACTGACACTTGGAAATAATACTGATGATATAACCAAACATGACAAGTTGAAGTGGAATTTACTTTATAGTCCTGCCAAAAATGTATAATGTGAATAAGCCAACAGCAGTATTGTTGAAATTATGGCGTCCTCTGGTGATCTTTTTTGTGCCGACTGTCTCAGCACAGCAATATGAAATATCCCATTTAAAGTGTGGACCACATAGGATCTATTTATTCTAAGCCGGTGCACTGCTTTCACCCGGACGGAAGTAGTGATGCACACCATATATTTATGGCTTGAATAACGTTAATGCTGAAAGGAGCACATACTTTCAGTCGACTAGGAGTAACTTTGCTAGGAATATTCCTAGGACAAAAATGTGGTCACTGCCCAATAAATATTTCAGTACTAATAAGGTAAGAGAGGTGTCCCCTGGAATTATATAAAAGTTTTACCCTGCAACGAAATTTATTTATTTTATTTTTTTTTATCCTTGGCATCGTACTCTGGAAAATTATGGGAGGATGCTCCAAATTTATTGTATACATTGTATACAAAGGATTTGCATTATTTTATGAGCATGTTATATTAGGATTTTTTTGCCTATATGACAGGAAACTTGAGGAAAAGGCATTTATCACAAATCTAATAATTATTTTTGCCATATTTTATTTTTCTAAGTGTAAGTTAACAATTCAAAGGCCCCTGTTTTTTCTCTTTTTTTTTAAACAAAGATTCAGAAACTTACATTAATAATCGTGTACCAATAAAAAGGCCATTAAAACTGCACTGGCATGCTAATTAGAAATAGAAGGAAATGTGGTATAAGCTGTTGTGAATTAATCTCTTAGAAAAATCTTTGGACTTTGCACCTTAGATTTTATAATATATACATAATTGTTTTTATTTTATTTTATTTTCGTTTAGTTTAGTTTAGTTTAGTTTCAATTTATTTTATTTTATTTTATATATTTTATTATTCTGCCTAAACCCCTTGACATGTTTGTTTGATTTTGTTCTCTGGTTAGTCTTCCTGTCAAAATGAGCAATATGTGCAATTTGCTCTGTAAGGTTTATAAAATAAAAATAGAAGAGTATATATAAAACCTATATTTTCAGTTGGACTTATTGAAAGTTGTTCGCTTTGACTCATCCAGTATTATTATTATTTGATCAGTCGGTCCTCTAGTCCTGTCATGAAGCGAGCAAATTAGGAACTATTTATTGTGAAGTACACTGTTGTTACCCGGACCGAAGCAGTGGTGCACATTACAACACAAACACTGGATGGCAAACGAGACGTTGAATGGCACATATTTGTTTAGTTTTGTCATATTAATTACTTCCTTCACAGTTAAACTTATGGATAGTTGTGTTCTCACATTTGTTAAATAGAAACCAGAGCATTTATTCCGCTGGGTCTGTTGGTGTTACGGTACAGAGTGCTAGCGTAAGTTAGCTTAACAGCTAGCCAACATTAGCTAAGTTCTCTGTTGTAACAGGTTTTCTTTTTTAGCTTTTACGTCGTTAATGGTCGCTGTTTGTTAACAAGCCCTTCAGTGACATGAAGAAACGTCACGTATCATTTCGTTAGTTAACTTCTTATCTTCTTTATTCCTTTCCTTCAGTGGGAGCACATCGGAGGGTGATTTAAGTCCATTGTGTTTTGGTAACATAAGCAGTAAACAATGCCTACCGTGGTCTTAATGGACGTGTCTCTGTCCATGACACGGCCAGTGTCTCTGGACGGCAGCGAGGAGTTTCAGAGGAAGAACCTGGCTGTCCACGGATTAAATATGTTGTTTGAACACATGGCCTCAAACTACCGCTTGGAGTTTACATCCCTGATGGCCTTCTCTTCCCTCTGGGAGCTCTTGGTGCCTTTCACCAGAGATTACAATGCATTACAGGTAAGAGGTGCTTCACATGCGAATGCAGTCTGAAAAAAAATCCAAGTATATTTTCTTCTCCTGAGTCACTACCTGAGTTTGAGCTCAGAAAAAAACGACATCTGACATTGAAGAAGAGTTGGGGATGATCTGATTGATGTATTCTTCTGTGCAGGAGGCTCTGAGCAACCTGGAGGACTATGACAAGACCTGTATTGAATCAGCTCTCAATGGAGTTAGTAACGTGGTACAGCAGGAGTGGGGCAGTGCCTGTCCCTGCCAGGTAATTTGGCAGGTCTTTTACACAATATCATCACACCTCCTGAATTTATCATTGGTTAAATAAAGCTTGTGTGCAGTTAGATAATTTTTCCATAGTGATTTCAGCCATCTGTACCCATTTATTGTAACACAGGGTGATATTAATGTCCCTTCTTTATATATCCTATAGGTGGTGCTGGTTACTGATGGATCTCTTGGTATTGGAAAGGGTTCCCTCCGTCACTCCCTCCAAACACTGAAGCATCGTGCTGATGACAAGAAGTTCCCACTTCCTTTCCCTTTCCCTACCAAAATGTTCATCATGGCTGTAGCCAATGCAGAGGAGGTACAGACAGAGTCAAAAACTAATTTATATTCACTTGCATCTTGATCTGAACATAGACAGGACCCTGACACTATGCAACCAGAAGCAACTGACCTTAAACAAGATCTAAGTTTATGGCTTTTACTGGGCCTCAATGTCTAAGATATTGTCAAAGAAATCTTAGGAGGAGAGAATGGCAGTTTAACAGTCGTTACTACTTTGTCAGTGGCTGTGATATTATATTGACTCACAGAGACTATAGTGGTTAAAGGCTATTTGTTTCACTGTCTAGTTGATGTAATCAAGACTGCAGTTTGGAGTTGTGCATGTATTGTTCCCTGAATTGGGATGTAAGTGATCTCCAGTGGACAGAAATGCCTGCATATCCTTTTACAGTTGTTTGAGAGAGTTACTATGACAATTGCAAATCAGGCAACATGGGTTTTGCATGCCTAAAGAAATTATTTACTTTGCATTCACACATTTAAATGTTTTAACTGTAACATCAAAACATGAATACAACCTCATAGCAGCATTGAGCACATTAGGTTTATTTGTAATTTTGTCAAGCAACAGTTTCCTCTTGGGCGCCTGGTAGGCATCTACATAAAATTAAAGCTTATGACAAGTTAGAAGCTAGCTGTTACCAATGCAATCCCTTGCCTTGTGTAATTGCAGTTACAAATGACTGATGCCATGGACAACTTGGAGGAGCTACTACGTCTAAGCGGAGGTGACGGACAGATCTTCACCATGGAGGGACCACTTTGCATGAAGAGTGTACAGGCTATGTTTGGGTATGACTCTTACTGAGGAAAATAATTTATTTGTCATGATTGATGTGATTACTTGGGAGCCTTTGGTCATTGTATGTCTTTGTATATCCTCAGGAGGCTGATTGATCACGCATACTCTCCCTTCCACGCTGTCCTGCACTGTGGGAACTTGTCCTCAGATGTTCAGGTGTTCCCTCGGCCTGAGCCTGTTGTGATGGATGAAGAGGTGGAACCCATTCCACGTGCAGTCAATACAGGTACCCAGGTGCATTCAAATTTCATGATTCAGAGTTAAAGTAAAACAATTAATTTGTTAACACACCTCTATTCTGTCATACTTGTTTCAGATTTGGAAATTGTGGGCTTCATTGAAGTCGCTGACATTTCAAGTCCTCCTGTTATATCCAGACACTTGGTACTGCCTATTGCTGTAAACAAAGGTCAGTGTTAAAAACATTGCGTTGTTTTACAGAAAAACTAAACATCCTATAGACAAATAAGCTGTATAGTCTAGGGCTCATTGCTTTTGTTGTAACTGATTTTCACAGTAAATATCATGATTTTCATTAAAGGAACGGATTGATTTAAAGGATGCATGCAGGATGCATCATGTCAGCATGTCTCCACACTCGAGAAGTTGTTCCCTGCTTTAAGAAAACACTGTTCACTACAGTTTACAATCATCCATATCCTTTTGCAACAAGGACAGTTCAGATTGTGCATCAAGGGGAAAAAAATAAAGAAGATGTAGACAAGCTGCACCTGAAAAAATAAATGAATAAAAAATTGATTCTTTAAATAATGTTTGTGATGCAAATAATTTTTCAGGCACCCCATTTTTTTTACACAGATAATTGTCACCTTT